CCTAACAAAACAGCGAATGATATAAATGCCTCAAAACATAACTCTCGCATAAAAAAAACATGAATACTTCTATAATATGTATAGCTTTATTCCTCTGCATTATCAAAATTTAATAAAATAGTGAATTAATACAATTTTAAAGTTTATTTAATCCGTGTGACACATTTTCACAGGAGATTCACATCTGTGTTACCTCATCTGTGACTTCGCTTCTACCCACCTTGAATAATTTATATTTAGTCATCTCATAATAATTTGAAAGCGAATATGTAATCCAAGCAAAATGGCCAAAGAATTTGCAAGTTCTGTTCTCAGAACTCTGGAAATGCCATTTCAGAGCCCCCCTTAAAAGCTCGCGTCTTCGACGCTAAACTTGTGGCTTCGCCACTCGTTCTCGTGAGTCTGCGCATTTATACCAAAAATACGCCTCTGAAGGCAAAGTGTGTCCTTGTAAAAATTCCGTATTTTAATGCCTGAAAGTGGCTATGTTTCACTGGTTTAGCTGATGATTATCCCAGGGTTTATTTTAAGAAAAATTTAGAACTGCACATATTAAGAATGTTACGAAGCATCACGTGTTTGACTGGGGGGTCAAAGGGTGTTTGACTGGGGTGTCAAAAGATTTTTATCTATATTTAACGCTGTAAATTTATAGTTAACGTTGAAAATTATGATAGACTCTTAATTTGTATATAGGTTGTATATAGGTGGCAGAATAAAGGTGTGGTTAAGTGGGGCCAGACAAACTCGATTCTGGGGGAAAACAAGCTAGCAAAACAGTACCTAAAGAAGTACAAACCAAAGCTCAGAAAGCTCTCGAACTTGTTTATTCAGACATTCTCGGTCCTTTCGAAGTAGCTAGTCTAAATGGGTCAAAATATGCAGTAACCTTCATAGATGAATATCCGAAGTATTCAGTTGTAAAGTATATGAGTAACAAGTCCCAAGTTCTTGACAAATTCAAAGAACACGTGGCGGAAGCAGGAACACCCCAAAGATTACGGACAGATAATGGGGAGAGTATACAGCCAAGCAACTTAAAGATTATTGCAGAGATTCAAAGATAAAACAAGAATTCACAGTTCCTGAAACACCACAGCAAAATGGAGTCGCAGAACGCTTCAATCGAACGGTGTTTACTCATTCAAGCAAAACTAAGAGCTTTAGCTACCGCAGTCCACATTCGAAATCTGACAGTGAGCATAAACAGCAACCAAAACAAGAGTCCTTTTGAACTATTCACTGGTAAAGCACCAAGAAGAAATCATCTTAGAGTATTCGGTTGCACAGCTTATGTAAGGAAAAGAAAAGTCAACTTACGAAAGCTCGATTCCAGATTTGTGAAAGCAAAATTCCTCGGTTACGATGACAAGAGTACAGCGTACATTTTACAAGAGTTTTCTACAAAGAAAATCATCAAAGCCCGTAACGTTCTCTTCAAAGAAGATGAAATTCAGTCATTCTCAGCAAAGGAGAATTCTAGACCAGAAGAGTCATTTTTGGAAAGTCCAAACATTGATCTTGACAATGAACGTTCAAATGATCAAACCACCGAGAAACCGGTCGAAGATAAAGTGGAGGAAAATAGAGAAGTGATCCCAAATACACATGATCAATTGGAAGATGAAGAAGAAACATCAGTTCCAAAAGCAAATAGAAATAGATGACCTCCCGAAAGATACGGTAACCCTTTTACTTTCAAAACAACCCAAGAAAAAACTGTCACAGAACCAAAAACGTACAAAGATGCTGTAAGTTCAACACAAGCTAAATATTGGAAAACATTAATAAATCACGCAAATCCTTTGTGGCCAAATTGGGTGACGGAAAGTGCGGTTTCTGGGGGTAAGGGCCCCGAATAGCTGGAGAAACAACATCAGGGTGAGAGTAAGGGCCCTCACCGTTATGGACATTGAATCTCATGTCCGAGCCGGGCTTCCCCGTGGTGAAGTGACCGAGAGATACGAAGATCAGGACGAGGGTAAGGGCCCCCGCCGTTATGGACCTTGCTCTCTTTTGCCGGTGTGTACTTCACCGTGGGCGAAGTACTAGTGTGGCCGTGTGGACACCACTTTCCGTCCTGCTCTCTTTATTTCTTCTTGAATGTATAAAATTATTTACAAGTTGATAAAACAGAACAATATAGATATGATTACAATTGATTTCTTATATTTAATTAAGTTCTATAGTTCCTGATTATTGGATGCTTCTTCTTCAGCAAAGGGTTGGGTGGGTGGGATTTTCCTTTTATGTTGTCTCGAAGACGGTTGAAACCAGAGTGAACTGAGATAAAATTTGGCTAGCTTTTGCTGATAACTGAAGAATGTCGGCTTAGCAAAATGGGATTATATTGGCAATTTGGCATTGACGCTTGGCGGATATTGCCCGGAGAGCAAGGCGGTTGTTTTCTTTGCTTATTGTTTCCGTTTAGGTTACATAGTTTTCGGTATGGATGTTGCCTCTTATTAATCCTAATTTATTTTTTAAAATAAATTGCTCCTTTATAAACTGCATATAAAATTCTCAATCTGATCCCAATCTAATCAGCACTATAGCTACTTGTAATTCACATTTACCAAATCACAAGCTTGGAAATCGTGAAAAAGCTTATGTACCCCACAGTATCTCGCAGTATACATTAATTATCTGCCGTACTCACTGCTCCTTGTACAGGCTTTTTATAGTGAGGCCATTGCTGTATTACATCGGGATATTTAAACATGTTGTAGACAACAGATGCGGCCATTGCACTGGCAAATGGCTGCCAATCTTATCCTCTGTCGCTGATTTGTTTCCATCGGCAAAATTTGACACTTCTTTAACAACAGCCCATTCTATCCCAAGATTATTACGCAGCTGCATATATTACGCGATTATTACGCAGCTCGGATATTACGCAGCTGCATATAGACCTAAAAATTAAGTACCAGTTAAAATAATGCACTTACATGAGATCGCGCGTTATTCTTGTTAGTTTGTCTAGTTGTTTTACAATTTCAAAATTCCAAAATCCAGGCCTGGAAATCCTGGAAAATCAAGTCATGGAAAGTCATGGAAAATTGAAATTTTACATACCATCAACAATGTATTTTACTTATTTCAATTTACCAGTCATAGCAATAATATGAATTGTTGTTATATAACGGATTTTTGCAAGAGCGAAGTGAATTTTGTTTTTTTATTATATCACCAATTTTATTTTTTTGGAAGGCCTGCGGAGGAGATAGATGATATGTAATGTGCATGCAATCTGCTGTTACAACCTCAGCACAACCGTCATCGTCGAAAATTCCTATCATAGCCAAATTGTACAACTTCATCGCCGAAAGTCGGGAGCTTTGATTTTTCTGAAGATCAGATCATGAAAAACAAAGTGCCCGAGGTGACATAGGCGTACGGGACGGGGGGGGGGCAGCTGCCCCAGCTGCCCCCCCCCCAAAAAAAAAAAGATTACAAAGTGAAAAAGTCGGGCAAGTATTCAACAAAAGTCGGGCAAAAGTGGGGGAAAAAGTAGTGAAAGCAATGAAATCTCTCTTAATAATAACCCCAGTTTGTTGGGCAAACAAAGCCAGTTGGGCAATATTCGCTTCACAGTCGGGCAATATTGGGTTATCATAAAAGTAAATGGGACAAATTCAGCCAATTTTGCGCGAAATTATGTAAATTTTGTGATGTTTGGGAAAATTTGTTTGATGTTCGGAAAAATTTAGGTATGTCCGAAAAAATTTTGGACCCCTAAATTTATTGTTCCGGAAAAATTTTTTTGGGCACTGGTCGGGCACAATTCGAAAAAGTCGGGCAAATTTCTTTCTGCCCCCCTAATTTTTTCCTTCCCGTACGCCTTATGCGAGGTGAAAGCGCGATATCTCAGCAGTATAAATATTTGCGTCAGAGATGTCACTCAGAGATGTTGCTTTAAAAATATTTTGACAGTAAAAATGAGATATACATTCAGCAAAAATATCCTAACTCATTTACATTAAGGATGATTTCACCATATGTTTAGGGACCGGTCATTATTAATAGTAGGGGTGGGGACCGAAAAAAAACTCTCATGACTGGGTTTAGCAGAACTCTTCCCAACCATATAACCCATGTCTTCAACTTCTAAGACTGTATTAAATTCATACGATTGATAATATACGACGAACTATCTTTACTACCATTTATTTGAAGGAGTTTGTTTTGGCCGTCGCCGTCGCGTTGCCGTCTTATACTACGACGGATGATACGTTCTAGTATAAATTTGAACAATATAGAAGTTCAGATTTGACTTTCACTCGGCACTACCTCTCACTGGCTTAGTGCGCATCTGATTGGTTAATCGAATATATCAAACGCATCTGATTGGTTGATGGTCCCTTAATGGTAGCAGTAGCAGGCATTAAAATACGGAATTTTTACAAGGACACACTTTGCCTTCAGAGGCGTATTTTTGGTATAAATGTGCAGACTCACGAGAACGAGTGGCAAAGCCATAAGTTTAGCATCGAAGACGTGAGCTTTTAAGGGGGTCTCTGAAATGGCATTTCCAGAGAACAGAATTTGCAAAATCTTTGGCCATTTTGCGTGGATTACACAAGTACACACTTTTCAATTTACAAGGGCACATTCGCCTTTTACAAGGACACAAAGTGTGTACAAGGACACGCTATTTTAATGCCTGAGCAGTAGTCAAATCTGAACCTCTATAATGTCCGGCAAACAGTGCTGGAAAATGTTGGGCAGCACCAGCAGCACCCTGCCTGGAAAATTTTAACAAAATATCTTTGCAGGAAATTTTCTTAGACTTTGCAGGAATTTTTTGTCATCTTATATACTGCCTGGAATGCCATAACTCCGTCTAACGCCAGAATATTTTACTCGTCAGCTAGAGTGCTGCCACTCAATTATACAGGTTAATTAACCTGGGGCCGGTTGTATAAAGCTACGTTTACACGCTGCGATTTGTCGGGCCGATTTTGGTAAATAATCGATGCCCCTTCTTCGACATTTTAGCGATTTAAACGTTCAATTGAAGCTGTCCGCTCTCTCGTCTGTTCATATTATAGTTTTCTGCGTGCGAAACGTTTTCAACAACTTTACAACGAAAGAAAAATCGTTGAATCGTGAGAAAAATCTGTGTTAGTGTTACAGATTTTTCTCCCGATTTTGTGAATCGCAAGGTGCTGACGCGAGTACTCACGACAGGTTATTTACATACAGCGAGCAAAATTGGTCCGACAAATCGCAGCGTGTAAACGTACCTTTAATGGACCTGCAAGCAGAAAAATTCTCGTAGAAACTTTTTCGGTCTCATAAACGAGGTTAAGGCTTCTTAAAATGTACATAAAAAGAATATTTAAACCCATTCACTTTCTATGAAAGTGGTCCATAAGAAATCCATTAGAAGACGGTTTTGTAGAGTGTGAATGTTTATATAGTTATTAGATTTACCAGGAGCAGTCGTGAAATACAACTATAGGCCCTCCCGCAGGAATCGAACTTGTGGCCCTGCGATTCTGGTGCAGCGCTCTAACCAACTGAGCTACAGAGGCCAGTTGTCAAGCTCTAACCAACTGAGCTACAGAGAGACAGTTGTCGAGCTCTAACCAACTGAGCTACAGAGG